ATAAAGGGAGATAAAATGGAGTGGAAACTAGTAAAAGCTCGGATGCTATTATAAATAAAGACATTTTAGGAGAAAAAAATTACTACACATAAATGGGAAGAACAATAAATGTACAATAACTCATTTTCTCTCCGCTTAGTTTATACCAAATAGGGAGAAAAAAAAATCTTTTTTTCATCATTCTCATATTCTATCATTTATATCTTTTATTATCTGCATCCCATCTTTCATATCTTCCATCTCTTGCAGTGTTAAAGTTTTGGCACGGGCGCGAACAAAAAAATAATGAAGTAAAGGAAGGGAAAAGAGGACAGAGATGAGAGAGATTGAAAAGTCCATGTACGAGACGAAGGGCCTCAATTTCAACAATCAACTATATTGATCAAGTTGATTAATTTATTAAAAAAAATCAAGTTAGATCATAGAAAATTCGTACTACATGTATGATGTAGGGAGTTTTAGATATAAGTAATCGTTTTTATATTTTTATTGTCCTTTATTCTAACTTTTTATTGTCGTTTTTATATTTTTATTTTGTTATCGTCTTGATGTGTTAGTTATAAATAGCCACATTATTTATTGTGATATGAAAGACTTGATTGTTTGAGAATTGAATATTAGAGTTGTGTTTTCTCTCTAATATGGAACTTTCCCCTCGTGGAGTTTTTTTAAGTAGATTTGTCCCATTTTTCGTTCAGACTAAACCGGTAAAATCTTTTCCTGTCTATTTTGTTGCATCAATGTGTGTTGAATAAATTTATTAAGCTTTTTGACAAGCAATAAATTTATTATGTTCTATTATGTGTTGACCAATGGAAAGCAGTTAATTCTGTCTTCCCATTAGCAACTGCAATAATATGTCGTGAGCTAATTACGCTCGATAAATTGACCAACAGATGACTCCATTTGTCAATGTCAGTAAAAGATCAAGCTTTAAGACTGTTTAGAGGAATATACAGAATTTATTAATCCCCTACGTTGGATAACTTTCCCTTGCTAATAATATTCATGTTAAACAGTGCTCTATAGTCTAATATTGACCAATAAAATCGCCAAGTACTCACCTGTTTTTCTTATTTAAACCATTTTCAGATATAATAATTTTCAAATGTGCAAGTTATTAGCAACCAAATTGAATCAAAATTCACGCTCGAACATAATTTTAGATAATATTAGCAAAATTCATTACCCACCGGCCACCCATATTCAGGCCAAAAGCCTTTTTTTTTTTTTTTTTGGCTTCACAAGCATGCCTAACCGTCATGATCTAGATAGCAACTCAAAAAAACTTGACTAAATTCCAAACATCCAATACCTAAAAATGACAAATGACTTTGACACCTCTTCAGCATGTCGAGTTATATTTATTCAGTTTTTATAACGTTTGACGTTTGATGTCATAACATGAAATAGGAGACCGTAAACAATTGAATGCTTTATGAAAACAGCTCCATATAATACTCGTACTAATACTATTGATTAGTTAAAAGCAAAACGGCCAAAACAATTGCTGATTCAACGAATTACAACAATTTTGAATATATACTGATGGTAGATGATCTGTACTTCACTTTAAGAAAGTATATATATATATATATATATATATATATGCATGCGGAGATGTCATTATATAATTCTTACGGATTTGTACGTGTATCACAATTAAGAGCACCACTCCAATTTCTCCTAAACGACAAGCGGCAGATAAGCATATCCACTTCTATACTCTTCCGCATTTCTCGATGTCGTATTCTATAGGAAATATTTAGCTATTTCCCTGCCACAATGGATTCTACTTTGGGGACAAAAGCGAAAAGATCTAAAAAAAACTGATGAAAGAAAAAGAGTTCTTGAAGCCTAAACCTTTCCTTGATATGTAGCAAGAGTATAACAGTTCCAAGCATTCGATTTTTGTATCCACTTATTTGTGACGACTCTCATGTCGCTTAAATAATACCACATGCATATATTATGTATTAATGAAAATATCACGTCATGTTAATTAAAATATTTTTAAATGACGTGTCATTATATTATTATTAAGGAACACGAAAGAGGATAAAAATAATAAACACGGGAGCCGAATCCCAACTCATGAAATAGGTTTTCTATTGATTTTTCTTTCTTTTTCGTGGAAAAAAAAATTAAGACAAATATATGTGCATGAATTTAAATTTTATCTTTTATTTTTAATTAATATCCTCTCCCCTTTAATTAAGAAATTCTATTAATCAAAAAGATATTTATCATGAATAAAGATTAAAAATTCAAACCCATATAATGGAATTTTGTACTCTGTGCACTAGAATATGAAAGTTACACATTCAATTGCAATTGTGGGCCTTCCAGAAAATCGAAGACCAACAATACAACTTGAGATCCATGAACCTACAAATGTTTACTATTCTATTTATCTACAAAACTGTCCATCATCTTATATAAAAAGATAAAATTATCCTTATATAAAAAAAAATGGCCATCAATAATGAAACACAAAAAAGTAAAATTTTGATATTGAAATGTGGAAATTACATTTAATGAATCGGATCATATTCAGTATATGAAAACTTTTCATACAAAAAATAATAAAAGCACCCCAAAAACCGATTGTAAAAACGACAATTGCCCAATTTTTATTCTAAGGATTTTGAACGCCCTAATTTCTGTCCTTACCGTCCAAAAACATCTAAAAATCCAACTTCATGCGTGAAAATTATATTTTATTTATCATAAATATATAAAAATTCCAATAATGAAAGTAATCTTCAACTACACTAAGAATGAAAATAACAAAAACATGTCAAGATTTCCTTAAAAAAGAAAAAAAGATCAGTCATTATAATAATAAACATAACACACGTGAAAATTATATTTTCTTTACCATAAGTTCTTAAAAATAATGGTAGTGAAAGTACTCTTGTGAACTATTCTAAGAATGAAAAGAACAAAAACACACGAGGATTGTTACCCGCAAAATAACAAAGTTCAATGACAATAAGTTGTAGAAAACATACCATGCTTGAAATTAATATTTTCTTTATCATAAATTCTTAAGAATTATAATAATGAAAGTATTTTTTGAACTACACTAACAATGAAAAGAACAAAAACATACTAGGATTAACAGAAAAAAAAAAAAAAAAAAAAAAAAAAAAAAAAAGGGGAAAAAAAAAAAAAAAAAAAAAAAAAAAAAAAAAAAAAAAAAGGTAGAAATCATTACAATAATGAACATTCCATGCGTGAAATTAATAATTTCTTTATCATAAATTCCTAAAGATTATAGTAATGAAAGTATTCTTGAACTACACTAACATAACGAATATGCACAAAAATATGCATTTTCATTAGGATAATGATTATATTATTATGAAACAGAACTAATAATACATAAGAAACACACACACACACACACACACACACAAAACTTAACAATAAGTGTTTTATTATTTTAACATAGTTATCATTATCAAACAGACTGAACAAAATAAATAAATGAATCTCAAACAATAAAATACGTGATATATGAAAATATAAAGAAAGCTGATTTATTATTGTAATGATACTATCATTTATTATGATAAAAGTCCATACAAAAAGTAAACACGTAAAATAGAGAGGAAAAAAAAAAAGAACAAAAAAGAAAAAATAAACCTCAAAAGCTGTATTTACGATCATTATAATGAAAACTAGAATTCATTGTAATGATCAATAAAAACGATGTAAAAAAAAAGTATGAATAATTGATATTCTAACATATATATGAATAATTGATATTCTAACATATATACACAAATCTAAAGAAAAACAATGTAAAGCTAGAATTCATCGTAATGATCAATGAAAATAATGTACATAAAGTATGATTAATTGATATTCTAACACATATACACAAGACTAAGAGAAAAGCAAAGAGAAAAACGTCACCCAAATGAAAGAAAATAAAAAAGGGGACGATTCCCGTTTGCTCACCGCATCAAAATCTCTACACGCAAGGATCTTTGTAGCAGCACAATTCAAACATTTTTGGAGAACAACCAACGCCAAAATTCAAAAAAGAAAGGAAGGAGAAACTGATATAATAGAAGACAACATCAATATTAAAACAAATTGATTACAAATATTAATTGTGGCTAAAAAGGAAAGTCAACATGAAAAATATGAACAGGAAAAATCAAACAATTAAATCAAATCACCATATAAAAAATGTGCCTAAAATAAGTTATAACGTTATACTCGGTATTATATGTCTTATCAAATACAAGTAGATATTTTTGTAATATTGTATAAGATTAATTTATGTATTCAGAATCATGAGTCATAATTATTCTCATTTTACGTGTATTTTTTGTGAGAGAAAATACTGTAGACAACTATAAATCATGATTCAGAATCAGGGACGAATATAAGAAATAAACGTTTAGATTCAAGATTTTTGTAGTGGACATTTTATGTAGGGAGAATGAGGAAAATAGGCCAAGACTAGAGATGAATTAAAATTAATAGGCCAATAGTTTACATAAGTTAATAAATATGTCAAATTACTGTTTTTGTCTATAACTTGTCTGGTTATGAACCATAACTTGACAAGTTTGTCCATAACTTATCTGGTTATGAACCATAACTTGACAAGTTATGGCCTATTAATTTCTATAACTAAAAAATGACCTATATACTTTTTTAAACTTTTCATATTGGCCTATTTTCTATTATTTTCCTTTTATGTAATTAAGAAGCCCATGAAATGTCCAGGTCCTAAAAAATAATAAATAATAAATAATAATAAAAAAAAACTTTCCATACCATCCATACTCATGGTGCATTCTGCAATTTCTCATTGGATTTACTATTTAGCATAGGTAAAACCCGAAAAAGCCCAAACGAGAAAACCAGCTCATACCCAAAAAGCCCAAAGCCCCAAAAGTCCAATCACGTGTAGACCACGTCGTATACTTCATTTCCAAAAACTGATGCGACTGGCACTTTTTCTGTTGAGCTGCAAAAATAACGCTCGTCTTTTATCGTATCTCACCGAAACTAACGCCATGGTTTCACTGCGCTTCCCGTTCTCGTTTTCTCAGCCCCCAAAACCACCCCACATTCCCTCCTCCTCCTCCACCTCCCGTCCATTCAATGCCGCCGTCGTTGCCGCGTCCGCCGCCGCCGCTGTCGCCGGAGTCGCTGTCTACTCTAAAGACTGGACCAAGCCAGGGCACCCGTTTCTCCAAGACGCACTGAATTTCTTCTTCGCCAATCGCTCGCTGCCCCTCTGGGGTTCGCTCTCTCTAAACGACTCTTCAAATTCGGTTGTCGATTCGAGGACCGGCGTTTCGTTTCCTTCGGTTCTGGCCGGTTCTCGGCAGCTTCTTGGAGTCGGGATGAGGAAGAAGAGAATTTTAGGGTTGAAGAACATCGATGTTTACGCATTTGGTAATTGCTTCTATCTTCTATCTTCTTTCGCTATCGATTATTTTTTGCATTTAAATGAGTTTGAAGAACCAAATTACTAATTTTGCTCTTCCCAGTGATGTTGAAGTGAGAATGATTTGCATTTGCGCGGTAGGAAAATTGAACAATTGCTCTAGTTATGGTTTTCGATTATTTTTCTTGTTTGCAGTAACTATCATTTTGTTTCTCTTTTACGGGATATGGTTAAGAAAATGCATGCTTTATCTACAAAAAAGTTAGCAGATAATAAGAAAAACTCTTTCTATAGAGCAGGTTGGTTTACTAATGCCTTGATTTGCCTACATTACAATAGGCTATATTATACTTGTATGTGAATTTCTTACTGAAATTGAGTAGCGTACTTACATTGTACTTGTGCAATTTTTTTTTAAACCCCTTTCTCTATGAACTTAGAATGGCTAGTTATATGCATTTTGACAGGCGTTTATGCTGATTGTAATGACATAAGGAAGTTTCTGGGTGAAAAGTATGGGAAATTATCCAGTTCTGAGATCACGGAAAACAAACAGTTCAGTGATGATCTGCTGGAAAGTGATATAAGCGTGACTGTGAGGCTTCAAATAATCTACAGCAAACTGAGCATTCGATCTGTTCGCAGTGCATTTGAGGAGTCAGTGGGAAGCAGACTGCGAAAGTTTGGGGGATCGGATAATGCAGAACTGCTTCAGAGGTAAATCTCGATCTTTATCAGCAACTGGCAATTTGCCACTTAAATTGTGAATAACATAATGTCGTGTGATGTATGTTGGGAACCATAATCTTTTTAGCTTATAGTTGCAGCTGGTGGCTACTCTTGGTTTTGGAAATGTTTGCATAGTAGTATAATGTGAGTTTATCAGAGCCTAATGACAAAGAAAATTGCAGGTTCACTTCCCAGTTCAAAGATGAATACAAAATACCACGAGGATCTGTGATAGAACTTGGAAAGGAACAAGGCCATGTACTTCGAACAACAAGTAAGCTGTTTCTTTATAATGCACTTCTCTTTCTTTAACGTTTATGGCAACGTTTATGGCAGCAATCCAGTCTCTTATTAAAAAACCGTTATGGTTACAGGACTTTTATTTTCCCTCCCCCTTGGTTGTGGTCATACAACCTGCAATTCTCTAACAGAGGATTTGACAAATAAAGAGAAAAATATGATACTGTTGACAATTATTCGCTTTTCCATGGGATCGTTTTATATGCATAACAAGTCGTTTTTGTTCAATGGAAGGAAACGACATGTCCTTTATTTCAGACGTCGTTTGCTAGGACTAAGAATCGTTCACTTGCACGTCGTTTGAATTAGTGATAATCAAGTCTACAGTTCACACGTCTTTCTTCTGTGCCAAGAAAGATTATGTCGTACAATGGTAAAACTGAAACGTAAAGCAGCATGTCGTTTTCCTGGGATGCGTTTGCCCCTCGATAAAGAATACATGTTTTAATTTTTATTTTATTCTTCAAACGACATGTATGCTTCCTTTTAGTGAGAAAGTAAATGTCTTTTTTCATTATGTTTTCTTCTGGATGAAACGACATAAATGTATGCAAATGTGGTTAGTGCTTAAATCAATAATCCACCTGTCGTTTTCTCCAGATTTTTAAAATTTCCACATTAAAATAGAAAAGCCATTGTGTCATACAAGTTTTCATTACTCCATGTATCTAACTTTCCATTTAGTCTCAACTGTTAACGTTGTTAACTATGTGCAGTTGATGGAAAGGATGTAGGAAGTATCGAAAGCAAACTCTTGTGCCGGTCAATTCTTGATCTATACATCGGTGAGGAGCCATTTGATAAACAAGCCAAGGAAGACGTCAATTTCAATGTGGCTTCTCTCCTTCAGAAGTAAAGTGGGCCAACATCCAAAGCTCTTTGAAACTCGCCACTTGTTTTTATCCCTTTCTCGTAAAGAGGATCAGATGGTAATACGTTGTCTTTATCACTTAATTGTGCACAACTCATTGAATTTTGCTGTTCTTCTTGTGTAGTTTGAACCTTAAGAAGATCAACTTAAAAATCTCATAAGAAACGTGAATATAGTTCTTTCTATTATTCAAAGTCTTGGGGGTGAAAAAGCATAAATCCATTTGAACCATTTTTTCCCCCCGTAATTGTATTCTGTTCTGATCATGTAATACAAAACTAACGGTGCGTCTTATATAAACAAAAAGGTAATGTTGTGACTTGTGAGGCAGGCGAGACAAAAATGGACATGCAAGTTATCCGCAAACAAAAAAGGGGGGCGTTGCTACAGGGAAATCTCCACCATTTACATCTCATTCACTATACTTTCAGCAACTCCTGAAAGACAAGCAGAAGATGCAAATATATAAAAGATCAGCACAAATATATACCAACCGTATTGAGTTGAAAAGAAAACAACGTACATATAATACACAATAAAGTTCGCCTGGACAGTACCTTCTCTTTCTGTTTGAAAAGAGTTTCAATCTTCTTCATATACTCATCTGTCAATTTCTACACAAGAAAACAGCATAGAAAGCATGAGTAAGTTTAGAAAAGAAAAGGAATGTATTTATAACATCTTTTAAGTTTTATAAGCTAAATACGAAATGAAAGACTAAAACGCAGAAATCAGTGAAGAATGACCAAAAGATAGATGTCGCTGGAGGTATCAGATGAGGGTCTTTATGGAAGGAATTGAAGTTACCTGCAAATCACTAGACAAGTCTTTGACATTATCTTCAGAGAGCTTTTTCTCCTGCAAAGTTGTGAGCACGATTAAAGAGGAATTTAAAGCAAAAACGAAAGAAGAAGATGGACCAAGGTAATAACCAAACAGTTGGAATGAAAAACTAAACCATGAAGGAATTTAATGATATAAACCTTCTCAAGTTTTTCATAGGCTTTTAAAGCATCTCTTCGTATATTCCGCAACGCCACCTATAGCATTTAGCAGAGGTCAATCATGGTTCCATGCAACTTCAGCAGGGAAAAAAAAAATCACCTTAACATTCTTTCAAATATTCAGATACATTTACAAGTCAATCAGTCTATCGTTGTACAAACACAACTATAAAAATTTTAGACCAAGCATACTTCTCCAACATGGGCCATGAGCGGGGGAGGGATACAAAATGGCATTGCATAATATGGTCAGTGAACTTACCTTACAGCCAAAACTACTTAAGTCCTAAAATGTTCTGTGGTAATAACTTGACAAGTCACAACAACTTAAAATAGGGGAGTTTCTGCAACCATCCAAAAAAAAGCCAATGTACCTTTCCTTCTTCAGTTTGTTTCGCCACAACTTTTGACAATTCCTGCATTGTAAGTATAGAAAATACACTAGTTGGATTCTTTAGAAGTACCTTTTAAGTGCTTTATTGATAATACATCTCATACGTAATCATACGAAGAGGTGAAAGATCTCTAAAGTAAGAGAAATTACCTTCCTTCTTTCTGATGTTAGTTGTGGGAGGGTCAATCGTATTACGTCACCATCATTGTTTGGAGTCATGCCAAGATCAGAACTGACTATTGCCTTCTCTATAACCTTTAAGCTGAATTGCATGTAAAAAATAAAAGAATGATATAGGACAGAATAACAGAAAGCACAAGGAATCTCAATACAGAATAATTTAATGACAGGACATTTTCCTTTACACCAGCAAAAACCGCGTATCTCTTTGGTGTCAAAGAGAGAGGCAGTAAAACTTCAAGCAACTTGCACCAGTTCACCAAATAACTGATCTTACCAAGAAAATGAAACAAAATATTTAGTCCCGACTCTACAGTGTCAAAAGACCGATTGCAGAATGCAGAATGCTCTGCCTTCTGCACATCCTAACTCTTTCCATACCCTTTTTAATATAAGAAATACCTGGATTTGTCATATGGCTGAACCAAGAGAGAACTTGCATCAGGAGTACTGATTTGTGCAATGCTCTTCAAGCTAACTGGACTTCCATAGTATTCCACCTAGAAAAGCAAGGTGTAATAGAGATAAGTGCCTCTCCAAACAACATTAGTAAGAAGCTCCAACAGATCACCAAATCAGAAATGGCTTTACCAGAAAATGGAAACTTGCAAGTTTCGACAATTACAGAATTACTAATTGTTATAAAGCCTAAGTTGTTAGGAGAGTGGAATCATTTGAACTCAGAATCTCAAATTCTAATACTATGTACAGTTTACTATTTCTCCAAAAGCTTAAGTTGTTGAGGATGGGCCGAGACTAGTTTTATATTCTAACAAAAGTCGACTGAACTCAACACAAATACTTCATGGTAAATTAAAAACAAAAACTTTGGTAATAGAATGAGAGGCATTGCTTTTAATATTGGATCTCTTAAGTATACTCCTGAAACACAAAACTAACATAACAGACCAGTAAACTGATCCTCACCTCTATCTTGTCGAGCATGGCCGGGTTTGCTCTCCCCGTCCTAACGGAGTTGAAGTTGGTTCGCACAGTTTCAATAGACTTTTCCATCCTCTCTTTCTGAAGACCAATCAACATTGTCAGAAACGGGTACAAATATCACCACAATCTCAAAACTAAATAGACATTGGAATCTCTCCAAGCTAAGCCACATACTAAACGAAAATCAACCATCAAATAGAAGAAACTCACAACATCTTTCTCAATCAACGATTTCTCCGCTTCAATTTCTTCAATAGTAGCAGCTCTCACGACCCCAACTCTGAAATAGAAGCAAATGTACCAACCAAACACCCAATAACTCAATCTAAATCTGAGCAATCCACATATCTTACACTTACTCAAAAAGTACAAATTATACGAAAAAAATCAGAGAAAATCAACTTGCCTCTTGTGTAAAACCTGCCTCGTGATAATGGGCTTTCCCGAAAACTTATCCGTACCATCCCGAAGCCTGACGTAGCTTGCAGCTGAGCCCCACGAGCACACATTAACCCTGCTCGGCATACATTTCGCACAAACCGGTCCTCCGCCATACGAAGCTGTAAAATTCGCAAAGTTATAAAACTACCCATCAAGCTAAAACCAAACAATTATAAATCTTCACAAGTGTTTCTGGAATTACAAGGAAGTCTCCTTGGAAATTTGTTCTTTCAATTCGAAAGAATGGTGCGAACAGAATTGTACCTCGAAACGAAAGGACAATTCGGAGAGGGTTTTGGCTGGGTTTAAGGGAGCACCGTACGGGTGTTGGAGGAGAGAAAGGAGTCGTCGCCATGAGAGAGTTGCAGAGACGAAAGTGAGAGAAAATTAGTCGTGGCCCCTTTGCCAACAACGAGGACTGGAGAAGAAAGCGGGGAAGAAAAGATTGTTTTAACTATTGTGGATAAGTTTTGGTTTTTCGGCTTGTTTGTGTTCTAGAATTATGTAATCCAGACACGGGATAAGAAATATTTTGTGCCAGCGCAAGAATATGCTGATTTGGATTTGGAATCCTCATTTGGTTGGAAATAAAATCCGAAAAATACTCAACTAAATGGACCTATTAAAAACAATTCTCGACTAATTAAAAATTTCAAAATTTTTAGTTTCAAAATATATTTTTTTTTAAGGGGTCAAAATTTCATTGAATGTCATTCTCATAAAATTTAGGAAGAAAAAGGGAAATAGGTCAAGACTTGAAATGTCACAAAACAATTCTCGACTAATTAAAAATTTCAAAATTTTTAGTTTCAAAATAAATTTTTTTTTAAGGGGTCAAAATTTCATTGAATGTCATTCTCATAAAATTTAGGGAGAAAAAGGGAAATAGGTCAAGACTTGAAATGTCAAGTAAATTATTATTAAAAAAATTTGGTTAAATTATTATTATTTAAAAAGTTAGACTATTAGAGATACGGAAAATGGTGATGAATGTTGTATGGAATTTCTTTTAAACTAATCGCAATATTATCATGAAAAAATGGCTTTATCTTCCAAACATTATCCTAATATTGAGTGAATCCAATGCTAAACAACGTAGCATAAAAAATAAAAAAAATTTAAAAAAAAAAACAGTGCTTGATTATAACCTATGGTACGCAAAGAAACCATAGTTCATTGAAATTTCAAAAACAAAAAGATAGGATTTTCCCAAGTCGAAATTTATCTCTTAATCTATTCCATGAAATATTTTATTTTATTTTATTTTTGAATTAATTTGAAATATGCTAAATACACCATTTCTTCGTAACTATTCTTTTTTTTTCCCCTCGGAAACAATATGATCATCTAATAATATTTTACTAGAGAAAAGGACGATAAAATTACGTGTTTTTCTCATTGATTACTCTCACATCGTATATGGTTCTCCTAGATTCTTGCCAGTATCGACTTCCATTTCATATCACCAATATCCCAGATTTGATTTTCTAATTGGCAACTTCAAAATCTCAATTATAACAGTTATACCTTCGGATTCTTAGTTCCGGATATTAGATATTTTATCCATTTAAAATTAAAAAGATATTCCCTAAGCACGAATAAAGTAAAAAATAACTAAAAGGAAAGTAATATTTTCCTCCCAAAAAAAATATATTTTGTTTCCAAAAGTTTATCCCTTTGACTGCAATTTATATATATATATATATATATATATATAGGTTTCTTGTTTCGGATTTTATTGATCATAAGCAACGCCTGTAGTGCATTTTCTATTTTCATCCTTCTTCTCTCTAACAATCTATCTGAAAACTCTTTTTGTTTGGTTAGTATGGCTTTTGCTAAGAGTATTTCAGTGATTTTGATGCTGCTCATGGCATCATGCGGCGTCTGTTTTGGTGTCGTTTATAGAGTTGGTGACTCTAATGGGTGGACAAACAAAGCCAACTTCAATTTCGAGAATTGGGCTTCCTCTAAGAACTTCCATGTTGGCGACGTTATTCGTATGATTTTCTTCTCTTATTTTGCATCTATTGTGATCGTTCTTTGATTCTTATATACTTAATGAAATTTATGGGTGCGATTGGTCAAAATAATTTTAGTTTTTTTGTATGAAAATGAAAATAAAAACGTTTTCAATCTCAGACATGAATCGTTTTTTAAAATACGTTTGGTAGTTTTATTAATAGATTGTTTTCAGTATAAAAAAACTCATTAATCTTTCTCTTTCCTCGATAGAGGAGAAAATGAAAATAAAAAATAAAAAATTTCTCTTATTTTATACTAAACCAAAAAATCATTTTCATTTCTGTTTTTTATCTTTAATTGTGTCAAACGTCATTTTGAAATCGTTTTCATTTTTTTCTCGAAAAAAATGAAAAACAAAAACAAAAACAATTTCAAAAACGGAATATATTTTTCTTTTCGTTCTTTTATGAATGCATAATTTATCGTTTGTTTCATTGGGTACAAATAATGATTAGAAAATAAAATAAATTTGGCTTTTGGGGTCTTTATATTGCTTTTGTATTGTCTAATATGTAAAATAATTATGTATACGTACGTGTGGAGATTTTCATGTACTAAATGTGTATTTTATGCATATTTATCGGAATTAGTTTTGCAAAGGAAAATGTATTTTAGATTGTTAGAATTATTTATATTCAATTGTTTCGCTTCTAAATTTTTCATAGAACTGAATGAAATTAAAAAGATCTTCTAGCACTTATTTGAGTACGTAAAAATTAAGTCTTTATTATTTATCTTACTGGGCAGTGTTCGAATATGAGTCCGGAAAGGATAATGTGTCGAGAGTGAACCACGAGGACTTCAGAACATGCAACGTCAAAAATCCAATCCGCGTGAGGGCGACCGGACATGACTCTATAACCATCAGAAACCCTCACTCCCACTTGTTCTTCATCTCCGGCGTCCCCGGCCACTGCGAGGCAGGGCAGAAGGTTGACATTAGAGTTGCCCCATCCGATTCTCAATCAAATGTTTCAGCGCCGTCTCCGGATTCCGCTCCGACCGCCAACTCGCTTGCCCCGGCCCCATCCCCAAGTGCTGCTGCTCCATCTCTCCTGTCTAGTATTCAGCTCTACATGGCTACCGCCGTTCTTGCATTTTTTGCTTTCTAGGGTCTTTTATGTTTTTCTCATTAAACTTTTATGTCATGTTTTTTTTTTTTAAGGTTTAAGTTATTTGGTATGAAGATTCATGTTATGGTTCAAATTATGTGATGATATTCTATGCAAAATTCTATGTTAGCTTTGTTTACCTTTAACTAATTCAAAGCTAGTGGTGTTCTGAAAACAGTTTCTCTTTTTTTTTTTTTTTTCTAGAGAGAGAGGGAGAGATAATCATCTAAACGTGTTGATATTTTTTTGATAAAAAAACATTGTTGATATTTTGGAGGCTGTAGGGTTACGATCTCAGATGTGAACATTCATCCTTCTGATATGCAATACGTACTCCCCCGTTGACCTCATGTGTCCCCCTAGGGGCCGGACTTCTCTGCATGATATTGGGCCAAAAGCCCAACCTACCGACACAAACATCGCATCTTGTTAAATATCATGGGCCCTGATGATCATGACCCAAACAGCTAGCAATCGTTTCTCTTTCTCTTTTTCGTTCTCAGTGGGGCGTATGCCGTGGGATGCGATGATTGTTGTTAAACTTAAGGATCATAGATGAGATATTATTGATTTTCTTTGCTATTTATCTTTAAAATGCACTAAAATGATAGAAAATAACATTTCTTCTTCGGATTTTGACATGAATTACATCATATGTGTTCCTTCCATTTCAGTAAGCATATCAATCCAGCAGTGCTAGTAATATTTAATACTAATTAACTGTCTGTTTTAAATTAATCATGTGATCATGACATCAATCATCTATACCTTGCGATAAGACATGAAGTTAAAACCCAATCTAATCTAATTAATTGGTGTATTGCACGTCTAAAAGATTCTAATGAACTTCAAAGTCATATCATGGCCGTCACAACCAAACTTCCAACAACTGTTTCAAGGATAAGAGCAAAAAATGGAAAAACTAATTTAAAAAAAAAAAAAAAAAACAAGAAAATGAGATGTTAACAAACTATATCTAATTATTTATCATATCTTATTTGAGATATATATTCTCTTTAAGCAGTTTTTAACGATAAGATGTGGCCCAGCAAAGCATGTAATATGATCAATCCCGAAAAAGACGTGAATAACGAGTAGTTTTATGGTGTTGGGACTCTAATTCATGGCACAATCTTTGTTTGCAAGTTTATCGTTTCACCTCACAAATTCAAAGTTCGTGAGTAATTGTATCGAGCTCGTATTTTGTTTCATTTTGCAACTCCAACGTTTAAAATATTCGCAAGTAATCATAGTCTCAACATCGGCGCAGGGAAATCTTCTTCCGGCAAAATCAAAGAACCCGTTAATTAAATATATGCATAGATTACAATTTACATGTATATCCACATCCCAAAGCTTGATAGGGTTTCAACAGTTGAACAAAAGTCAACAAAAAAGTAAAGTGAAATGTCCTATATCTGCTAGAAATTCGTTTGCTCGTCCGGGTTTTGATATGTACATATCTTACAAGACAAGACAATTATGGAGTATCTTCCTTGACAATGAAATATGATACTATATGAAACATGTAGCCCATCCCTTCCTATTATCTTTACTTCAATTTTTTGACACGGTACCCTATTGTCGTTTTTCCATCTGATCATATGGGGTTAATTCTAAATTAAACCATAGTCACTTCAATGTTTATTTCACTCCCTTTCTTTAAGCAGCTTGATAATCCATTTCCCCATTTTTGTCGTCAACTATTGAGGCCCTAATTTTCTTTCTTCACAAGTCAATTAGGATTTACTACCAAAACCCTACACACGAACACCAAGACCCGTTTAGTTCACTGATTCGAGTTTTTAATTTGAGTTGAGATGTTACTTTATGTGAGAACTTTTTACTGTAACAAAAAGTTAGATGTGACTGTTTTTTAGAGTTTTTTACTGTAGCAAAATTCAAATTCTGAACTCAAATCGGTAAAATGAACGGAGCCCAAATATAGCCACAATAACTTAAGGTTATATGTCTCATTTAATTCATAAATTTGAACATAAAAGTTTAATTTAAACATAAATTTAAATATTACGAGAAAAAATACTGTAGTAATTTGAACTTATACATGAAATAAAACATAGTATATTTTTTTCACCAAGTAGGAAGTAAAGAACACACGTGTGAGCCATATTTGTGAGAATTGTGTGGAGAACTGAGAAGGGTATGTAAGCCTGGCGTACGAAAGGTGTTTGTTTGCGCATCTCCCTCAAAACCTCTGTCTTAGACGTAAATTGACAAAGATACACAACCAAAACTCTCCTCGTTGTGCATTGTCCAATGTACGTATTCTGACTTTGGCCTCCCCATACAAGACATCGTTAAATGAACTCCATCCTCTTTCCCTTTGTCTTGGAGCACAGATCAAATCACAATTCTATGTCCACCATTTTTTTTTTTGTTAGGTCAAAAAGAGAAAAGAGATAAATATGTATTTACAATGTCGTTTCTTCTTTTTGCTTTTAGCAAAGTACCTCGACACAGTACGACTAAAAGGACTCACAACATAGACTCGTATTGGGCAAGTTCCGTGGTGTTTCACCTTTATTTCCCGTCTGCTTCCACAATTAGCATCTAATTATAATAATAATCTGATTAATTAATTAATTAATATTAAATACTAACAGAAAGCAGCAAAACAGTATACGATGAGAAAAGAAGCGCAAGCCGAGCCGGCTGAAAAGCCGAGGTTCGCGCCTCGCGTAACCCGATAACAACACGCGCAGTTGCACGTGCAAGAACAGTACAAAAAATGTAAAATAAAACCGTGATTTACATAAACAATATTTAATTAAAAAAACAAAGAAGAAAAAATTTGTTTTATAAAAAAAAAGAGAGTATTAAAAGAAGCGACAAGAGGAAGCGCACGAGTATAAAACCACACATCTAGAGCAAGCACATACTCAACTTTTCTCACTGTTGTGTTTAAACTCTCAACTACTCCGACTCAGAGCAACACACAGACACAGAAGAGTCCCTGAGAAAGAGAGAGTTTATAAAGAGAGAAAAACTGAGAAAAGTGAGTTCTTGCCACAATAGCATTCTTTCGTTTCATCCCCCATTTAATGCCTCTCAGCAATAAAGCGTGAACGCTCTTCGCTTTTAGTTTTTTCACGTTAATTTCCATCTCAGAATTACCAGCAAATTAACGAACAGTACTACTCTTCCCTCGTAGCCCACATTCGAAAAGCTCAGATTCTCTCTCTCTCGAGAGAGAAAACTTTCGTTTCGCGCTATCTTTTCTTATACCATTTTCGTTATAATATAGATATAAATATACGTATCGATACAGGTAGAGAGAAGAGGGGGGATAGAAATGGAGCTGAGTAAGGTAACCCTGGAGATCTTCACGAAACTGGAGCAGAAATGGCTCTCCCACTGCGAAACCACCAAGAAGACGCGCATTCTCAGCATCGACGGCGGTGGAACCACCGGCATTGTCGCCGGAGCGGCTCTGATCCATCTTGAGGACCAGATCCGTCTCAAAACCGGCGATCCTCACGCTCAAATCGCTGATTTCTTCGATCTTGTTGCTGGAACAGGTATCGGAGCCATCCTCGCGGCCATGATCGCCGCGGACGATGGTTCTGGCCGTCCTCTATTCAACGCAAGGGAGGCGGTGAATGCCATTGCGGAGAAGAACCCCGAGCTGTTCAAGGTCAAGCTAACTGGAGTTTTTCGCCGGCGGCGGAGATTCTCCGGCGTGAGCATGGAGAATGTGCTCAAGGAGGTGTTTAAGAGAGATCAGGACGGGAAGGTATTGACTCTGAAAGACACGGTCAAGCCTCTCATCGTCCCGTGCTTCGACTTGAAGAGCTCGGCGCCGTTCGTCTTCTCCCGCGCCGACGCGACCGAGTCGCCGAGCTTCGACTTCGAGCTGTGGAAGGTCTGCCGCGCCACGTCAGCCACGCCGAGCCTCTTCAAGCCGTTCAACCTGAGCTCCGTCGACGGAAAGACGTCGTGCTCCGCCGTCGACGGCGGACTCGTGATGAACAACCCGACGGCGGCGGCGGTGACGCACGCGCTCCACAACAAGCGCGACTTCCCGTCGGTTAACAGCGTGGATGATCTGTTAGTCCTGTCGTTAGGGAACGGCCAGCTGATCGGAAAGAAAAATGTCCACCGCCGCGACGGCGATTGCTCCACGTCGTCGATTGTTGACATTGTGCTCGATGGAGTTTCCGAGACCATTGACCAAATGTTGGGGAACGCATTCTGTTGGAACCGTACGGACTACGTCCGAATTCAGGTGTGCATTTATTGCCTTTCTTGTTCTTTGCTTCGTCCCACGCAGTCTTTGTTTGGTTGCATAGAAAACGCGAGAAAAAAAAGAGTAGAGACTGAATTTCAATTTTCTTTTTATTTTTAGTTTTTTCTGGTTTCTGACGCCGTTATGAACCGTGCAGGCGAATGGATATGGGAGTGAAGGGTTAGTGGGGCCGAGAAGGAAGGAAGAGGAAGTGGAAGTGTTGAAAGAGAGAGGGGTTGACTCGTTACCGTTTGGCGGGAAGCGGTTACTGACGGAGACTAACGGCCAGAGAATCGAGTGTTTCGTTGAACGCCTTGTGGCTTCCGGAAAGACCAGCCTGCCCCCCAGCCCCTGCAAGGAATCTGCCGTTAGCCCTCTTGCTAACGGCCGTTAGATTGTTTTTGCCTGGATCTTACCCCCTCTGGTTTATATATATTTATATTTTTTCCTCTTTTAACTCTGTAAGACTGTAATGTAAACCAACGCAGGTTCACTTTTTTTTTTTTTTTTTTTTTTTTTCAATTGTATCTCCGTTTTAAATAGCTTCTATAATAACAGCTTTTTCAGTTATTTTCTTTCTGTAATATAATATAAGGAGAAAGAGAGAAATAAGTTAAGACCTGAGATGAATTAAAATTAATAGGTCAATAGTTTACATAAGTTAATAAATAGGTTAAATTACTTCTTTCATAACTTATCTGGTTATGAACCATAACTTGATAAGTTATTCACGATTTTTGTCTATAATTTGTTTAGCTATAAACCATAACTTGACAAGTTTGTCCATAACTTATTTGGTTATAAATCGTAACTTGACAAGTTATGACCTATTAATTTCTATAACTAAAAATTGATCTATATATTTTCTTAAACTTTTCGTATCGACATATTTTCTACTATTTTTGTATAATATATTGCAAACACAATGACATGGACATGCACTTATAAAAGTGAAACAACAAATTAACGCAAGGGAAGGCCCACAATTAATCCAATATTGTTTAAGAAAGGTTGCCTTTACCAATAACGGCCTTTAACGTTTTCAATAATCTCGTCTTTAACCAAAGTCCTAGTTGTGACAATGTGATTAAACAGATATCAAATAGTTACAATTAATTTAACTGACCAGGCCGGACCTACACTATCCTCCAAATCCATAACCATTTAGGGCTCTTTACACAGATAGTAAAATTCAATGGTAAAGTTGAAATGTAGAAAATTTCCTGAAATGTTATAATAATAGAAGTTATTGATATTAATAAGATAAGAACTATATGATTATACAGTATAAAATGTGATATTATTGTGATAATGAAGACGTAAATTTTTTGTTAGATTTCAATTTAAGGTATGCAGTGTAACGCCAACTGAAAATGTCAGACGTAAAATGGGGTAAACACTGCAACACCTTTTTGCAAATCTCCTAACAGTGGATACATGCAGTAACATGGATAAGGAAAAAGGAATCAAATCCTGCAATTAGGTAAGAAAAGATATATATTGTACTCTAACGAGTACTCTTTGCAAGTGACGACCCAAATCCTTGGATAAATTTCACTTTAATTATTCTCCCACCCCGAAACAAACAAAATAAAAGTCACTTGTTAGTCCTCATTTTTGGTATTTGTACTCCTCTGAATTTTCTTCTCTAACTTTTTTTTTCTTCTTCTTTGGTCGGTAGGTTTGATGGTGAAAAGCCTGTGTAGAACATTGCCGTACCCCTCAACTATTTTTGCCAGTGGACAGTGCCACTGGTTTATATCTTTAAACCAGCACTAAAAAAAAAAAAACGACCAAAAATTTGCCCGTCATTGGCAATGAGTTTTCTTTCTTCATGTGTGAATTTTTAATTAAGCGTAAGATACTTTTATTAGTTATTAGGTAGAATATACTTCCTCACCGCCATATATATTATCTTTTAATTGAGCGACGGTGACATTAAGTAAGACAAGATTCATGTCTTGAAAGAACATTGTTAGCTTTCAAAATTGCTTAGCCAACCTGGTTGATGTGGACTCTTTGTAGAATTCAACGGTTTCCACAGTGTTGGCACTGATTGGCTTTTATGGTAACTCGGTGCGAAATGGGGTTTGGCCGACCTCATCCCAATTTGAGCTTTGGAATTTTGTTGGAAATAAAATCGCTTTTACTCTATACAACATATATAATAATAATAAGGGACATTCTCCGGTAAAATTAAGTAAAAATTTTATGTCCGTTAAATCTGTATAAAATCACGTAAAAATTAAAAAATATATAAATTTAACGGTTAAAAAAACTTATCTTACAAGTACAGCGTACTAAAAATTATCTTTAGGGGAAAATAAGGCCCCATCTATTCTTGGCAATATTGTTTAAGATTTATACATATATATCGAATTATAGGTAGTCATTTCCATCATTGTTCCTAATATTATTATTTAAGGTCTCGCTCGTTTTGCAAATTTGAGTTGAAACATGATATTTTTTGAGAGCTTTTAACTGTAACAGAAAAAGTTAAGTGTGTTATTTTTTAAGAACTTTTAACTGTAAAAATTTAGAGCTAAAAACTCGAATCGGCGAAATAAACGATGCTTAAAAATAGTTTTCTAATTTGAAATTCCGGTTGTTGTGCACATAGTTAGTAATAAATTCATGCATAACTCAACTGTGTTTTTTTCACAACTCAAATTTTTATATTTGAGAGAAAACATTGTAATAAAAAAATTAAATTTAAATTTTTATTAAAAAAAACACTATAACTAAAGAATTTGATTTGTGATTTGAGTTGTGAAGAGAACAATGTCAATTTCTGGTTCAAATAAATATTAATTAATTGCAAATTAATTACTAATTAATCACAACAAATAATTAACTAATTAATCACCGAAAAATAATTTACTAATTAACTTCAATTATAAAAAACAATAGAAAGAGTAAAATTATAAATGATCAAGAGGAATCTCTTTGTTTGCTCGCTGTCTTTCAGAAAGTTTGGTGTAATTGAAGCAGCCAAAACATTATTTACAGGGTCGGGGAATTTTTGCTGCAAGGAATTGATTGATTTACAACACAATTTGTGGATCTTTTTTTCAATGCATGCGCATTGGATTCGAGAAGTGACCATATTTGTGTCATTTTAGACAGGCTAGATGCTAATTCTGATCGACCCATGTGTATATAATATATTGAGTAACTTCTGTACATCCTTTGACGATGCGTAATATGTATCATTACATCTTGAAAAACATATATATAAATACATATATTTGTAATGTCTACCAGACGAGAATCTTACTGTATGGCTCTAACCAGATTTTCGGTAATACAAATATAGATTTTTTTTTTCACGTACAAATTTGTTTCAGACAATTCAGCATATGACTCGTATTTTGTTTCTGTTACACCATGGTCGAGACATCGACCACTCTCTCGAACGACAGGTGCCGAGGACTCCCTGTTGAGAATCGGTCGCTGGCGTCGAGGGAACAGCTGTAGATAAAGTGCCCTTTATGTCGAGAGATCATGCGTGGCGAGAGGCGTCGAGTACAATGACTTGACTTTTGAGGGCCACTGCGTCGAGACAGCACGCCCGGTCAAACCCATCAACGGTCTTGTCAACTCAGGAAAGGAAGTACTGGTCCAACTGCTACTGCAGGAGTTGGGAAACCATGCGGCAGATGAGAGGGATTAGCCGTATTTCCTGAGGTTATCACCATGAAAACTCACCTACCCCTCCTGTAAATCGAGGACGGAAGATGGCTTCCTCCTTAGGAACGGAGAATGCATGATCATATGTAAAGGCCTATAAATAGAGCCAAGAAAACCCAAAAAATGGGTTACGCACCATTTCATTACTCTAAGAGAGCTTGTAATCTGGTGAGATATTAATGCATTCACAAGTGAATTAGGTAAAGAGTTATTGCCGAACCACTATAAAATCATTGTCTCCTTTACATTATTTTTCAGTTTTCAATCTCTAATCGAACTGTGAGCGTTACTGTGAGTGTTTCTGAAGAGATAATCACGAGTTATCAGAAAAACACCGTCTAACAGTTTCCTCGGCGGCAAAGAAGAAGAAAACGATGGTCATTGTTGGTATATATATTACAAAAGTACTTCAGAGGCCAACGTGCTATTATTATTTGCAGACCCAGCAAACATTATTAAGATGTAGAAACTAGAAACTGGAAATATGAGAAAATATAAATATATATAGATTTAATTTGAATAAAATAAAACTTATGTTATTAGTAATATATAATACCACGCATTATGCATATTTTTAACATCAAATCATATCATAATTACACATATATGAGAATAAAAAACATAAAAAAAAAATTAACATTGAGAATGGTATGATACGTAGTCAAGCAAAAGAAATTCCTACACAAAAAATGAAAGGTGTTTCGGAAGACCTAAAGATCTCTTTCTTATAAGATTTTTGAGTCAGGTGATTTGAGTGATAATTTTGAGTTGAGTTTGAGTTATAACTTGAGTTGAAGTTGTAACTTAAATTTGTGTTTAGATGTGCATATTTGAGTTATGATTTGAATTAATAATCTTTTTGAATTTGTGTTTGGGTGTGTCAAAACTTAAATTTGTATTTATATAGTATTTTAATAAAAACTCAATTGTGATGAAAAATTTTAATAGGGTATATGGGTGATATTTTATTCGTCTTTTCGTTGTGAATGCATAGAAAAAAAATCATCTCAATCAATATTAAAATAAAAAAGTTATGACATTTTTAAGAATAGAAAAAATAATATTCATTAACTTGAGTTCGAGTTTATGAACTCGAGTTGAAGGAAAAATTTGAACTCGAGTTGAAGAGAAAACTTAAACTCGAGTTCAAATTCAAATTTTACAAAAGAACATAAACTTGAATAAAATTATAATTCGAATTCAAATTTTTTATAAGTTTCGTGATAAAAGAACAACTTTTAACGTTACCTCTTTTGTGGAGTAATGTACACATTAATAGCACATGATGAATTCATTCCTATTCTTAATTAGTTGAAATAATAGTCTGATTGTATTTTGTTCATGATAAATGTACTGGTATATCGATTTCGATACTTTTACTAAATGTACGGCTGTAATTTTCGTCATAACATTACATATCTATTAACAAAAACAAAGAATACAATATTAGATAATAAATTCATTTTACAGCAAAAGTTCTTTTAAAAAAAATAAATTCAAATAGATATATGCTTGACGGCTTCAAATTGGCTAAGGCGAGTGGCTCTGATATTATTTGCTATAATGCTTGATCAAGGCTGTTTCTTAAACCACCTGAACCCGACAAGATTGGGAAGTGGGTCAAATCTCAGGTTCATCTTGGCCACTAGGGCCAACACGTCCAAATAAAAGCCCATCTTCTTTAATTAACTACCGCTCGTTCAGTTTATTAATTTAAATTTTTAATTTAAATTATAATATAATTTTATGTAAAAAATTTTAATTATAAAAAAAAATATATGTGATTTTTATAATAAAT